GTGGATGTGGGGGTGTGGATGGGGAAGGGGGGATGGATGGGGATGGACGTGGATGTGGGATATGGATGGACAAGAGCAGATAGATGGGGATAAGGATGTGGGGATTGGGATGTGGGGGATGGATGAGGATGTGGGGATGGGGATGTGGGGGGGATGGATGGACAAGGGCAGATAGATGGGGATGGATGTGGGGGATGGGGATATGGATGGGGGTGGTTGTGGATGTGGGGTATGGATGGGGAGGGACGTAGGTATGGGGATATAGAAGGGAATGGAGTTATGGACATGGGAATATGAATGGGGTTGGGATTATGGATGGGGATGGACTTGGGGTTGGGGATGAAGATATGGGTGTGGGTTTGGGGATATGGATGTGGGAAAGGGGGTATGGATATGGATGGGATGAGATTGGAGTTGGGGATGGGGAGCTGCTCTGTGCTGACACATCCTAAAGCCCCAAATGTGCCAATGCTGGGAACCCCCCCAGGAGGTGACGCACAGGAGCGCTCTTCCCTCTTCAGTATGGTGCATGGGGGGAGAGGAATCTTCTCCCCCTGCTCAATTGGCATTTTGGAAGGCAGTGGCTGTGGTGCAGGTTGCATCCTATGAGCAAACACTGAGGGATGCTGGATGGGGCTTTGGCTGCACCCCATAACAACAAGTCTTGGCTCCAAGGATGGAACCCCAAAGGGACCTCAGCAGCCCGGCCACGTGCGGGTTCTCGCAGGACCCGGAATCATTCGGCGGCCACGGCGTTAATTACTGCAGGGCTGCCATAAATCCCAGCAGCAGGAACTTGAGGTGGCTTTGAAACGACAGCCGTCGGATGTGTTTGACGCGCGGGCTGAGCCAGCAGCAGGATATTCGTTTTCCGTCTCTGCCGGGGAGGATAATTCAAACCAGCACGGGGCGTAATGGGAAACAGCATCACGGCGCCCACCCCACACCAGGGCAGCCCCCGGCTCTCATTTAACTCTCTCCGCCCCTATTTTATCTCTAAGCTCTTTAGCAAATTCCTCCAGTGCCAGGCAGGCTTACGGTCATGCAGCGGGACCGAGTTGGGTTCGTTTTGCTGGATGCAGCAGCAGTCTTGATGCATTTGTTGGCTGGATCCCAATGGCGATGTCCTTTATGTTTTTCTCCTTTTTTCTTTTTTTTTTTTCCCCTATTTCCACCCCGCCCCCACAGATCCCCCAGTGGCAGCAGCCGTGCGGTCGCACTTCAATGAGTGCCCCGACTCCCACCGGCAGTTCTGCTTCCATGGGACGTGCCGCTTCCTGGTGCAGGAGGACAAGCCGGCGTGTGTGTAAGAGAAGAGAGGGGGTGGGAGAGAGGGATCTGCCCCATAGGGTGCCCCTCTGCAGGGTGGTTTGAGGGGGGTGGCACAGGGATGGTCAGGGGTGACGTGGGATGAGCCAGAGATGCTCTAAGGTGAAATGGGGTGACATGAAGATGCTCCAAGATGGCATGGAGTGACATGAGGATGCATGGAGGTGACGTAAGGTGACCCAGGGATGCTCTGGGGTGACATAAGGTGACATGAGGATCCTCTGAGGTGACATAAGGTGATCCAGGGATGCTCCAAGGTGACATAAGGTGACATGAGGATGCTCTGAGGTGACGTAAGGTGAACCAGGGATTCTCCCAGGTGACATAAGGTGACATGAGGATACTCCAAGAGGATGTGGGATGACCCTGAGATGCTCTGAGGTGACATAAGGTGTCCCAGGGATGCTCTGAGGTAACATAGGATGACATGAGGATGCTCTGAGGTGACATGGGGTGACGTGAGGATGCGTGGAGGTGACAGATGTGACCCAGGGATGCTCTGAGGTGACACAGGGTGACATAAGGATATTCCAAAAGGATGTGGATGACACAGAGAGGCTCTGAGGTGACATAGATATGATCTGGAGATGCTCTGAGATGACATGAGGATGCTCTGAGGTGACATAAGGTGACCCAGGGATGCTGTGAGGTGATACAGGGTGTTATGAGGATGCTCTGAGATGACATGGGGTGACGTGAGGATGCATGGAGGTGACATAAAGTGACCCAGAGATGCTCTAAGGTGACATGGAGTGGCATGATGATGCTCCCCTGTGACATGCAGTGACCCAGGAATGCTCTGAGGTGACATGGGGTAACCCAGGGATGCACCAAGATGACATGAGGATGCTCCAGGAGGATGTGAGATGACCCAGAGATGCTCTGAGGTGACATAGGTGTGACGTGAGGATGTTCCCAGGTGACATGGGGTGACGTGAGGATGTTCCCAGGTGACATGGGTGTGACCCAGGGATGCTCCCAGGTGACATAAGGTGACATGAGGATACTCCAAGAGGATGTGAGATGACCCAGAGATGCTCTGAGGTGACATAGGTGTGACCTGGAGATGCTCTGAGGTGACATGGAGTGACATGAGTATGCTGTGAGGTGACATGAAGATGCTCTTAGGTGACATGAAGATGCTCTTAGGTGACATAGATGTGACCCAGGGATGCTCTCCCGTGACATGCAGTGACCCAGGAATGCTCTAAGGTGACATGGGGTAGCCCAGGGATGAGGATGCATGGAGGTGACATAAAGTGACCCAGAGATGCTCTAAGGTGACATGGAGTGACATGAGGATGCTCTCCTGTGACATGCAGTGACCCAGGAATGCTCAGAGGTGACATAAGGGATGCCATGAGGATGCTCTGAGGTGACATGGGGTAACCCAGGGATGCACCAAGGTGACATGAGGATGCTTCAAGAAGATGTGGGTGACCTAGAGATGCTCTGAGGTGACATAGATGTGATATGGAGGTCCTTCAAGGTGACATGGAGTGACATGAGAATGCTCCAAGGTGATGTGAGTGTGACCCAGGGATGCTCTGAGGTGACGTGGGGTTATGTGAGGATGGTCCAGTGTGACATGGGATGATGCAGGGATGCACATGGAGTGACATGAGGATGCTCTGAGGTGACATAAGGGATTCACCAACATGACATGAGGATGCTCCAAGAGGATGTGGGACGACCCAGAGATGCTTTGAAGTGACATAGATGTGACCTGGAGATGCTCCAAGGTGACATGGGGTGACCCAGGGATGCTCTGAGGTGACGTGAAGATGCTGTAAGGTGACATAAGGTGACCCAGAAGTGCACTAAGGTGACATAGATGTGACCCAGAGATGCTCTGAGGTGACATGGGATGAACCAGAGATGCTCTGGGATGACACAGGTGTGACTTGGAGCTGCTCTGAGGTGACATGGGGTGACATGGGGTCACCTATGTTGCTTTGAGGTGACCCAGGGATGCTCCAAGAGGACGTGACGTGACCCAGGGATGCTCGAGGATGATGTTGATGTGACGTGGAGATTCTCTGAGGTGACGTGGGGTGACCCAGGGATGCTCTAACACGGCATGGGATGACCCAGAGATGCTCTAAGGTGACATGGTGTGACATGAGGATGCTCCAAGTGGATGTGGAATGACCCAGAGATGCTCTGGGGTGACATAGGTGTGACCTGCAGTTGCTCTGAGGTGACATGGATGCGACCCAGGGATGCTGTGAGGTGATACATGGCCAGCCAGGGATGCTCTGAGAGGACACAGGGTGACACATGAAGGTTCTGAGGTGACATGGGACCAGCCAGGGATGCTCCGAAGCGACATGGGATGTCATCAGGATGCTCTGGGATGATGTGGGTGTGACCTAGAAATGCTGCAAGGTGACATGAGAATGCTCCAAGGTGATATGGGTGTGACCCAGGGCTGTTCCGAGGTGATTGGAGTGACGTGAGGATGCTCCATGGTTACCCAGAGATGCTCTGAGAGGACGTGGGGTGAGACAAGAAGGTTCTGAGATGACATGGGGTCATCGAAGGGTGCTCCAAGGTGACACAGGGATGCTCTGGGGTGACATGGGGTGACATAAGGATGCTGTGGGTGTGACCTAGAGATGCTCCAAGGTAACATAAGGATGCTCCAAGGTGATATGGGTGTGACCCAGGGATGTTCTGAAGTGATGTGGGGTGAAACCATGATGCTCTGAGGTGACCCAGAGATCAACTGGGTGACCTAGAGATGCTCTGAGGTGACACAGATGTGACATGGAGGTCCTTCAAGGTGACACAGGGTGACATGAGGATGCTCCAAGGTGATGTGAACGTGACTCAGGGATGCTCTGAGGTGACATGAGGTTATGTGAGGATGCTCCAGTGTGACATGGGATGATGCACACGGGGTGACACAAGGACATTCTGGGGTGACACAAGGACATTCTGAGGTGATGTGGGGCCACCTAGGTGTGCCCCAAGGTGACCCAGGGATGCCCTGAGGTGATGTGGAGCCATCCAGGGATGCTCCAGGGTGACCCAGGGATGCCCTGAAGTGATACAGAGGGACCCAGGGATGCTCCAGAGTGACCTGGGGGTGCCCCAAGGACCTGTTGGTGACACAGGAGGGATCCAGCAGGGAACAGCAACAAAATCCCTGCCCATATGCCTCAGTGCAATACATCCCATATTCTGTAGGCTGCTGAAGCCACCTCGAGTGGGTTTGGCCACGCACAGCACCCAAAATGAAGATCCGTCTGCCTGGAAAAAAGGGCTCAAACTCTTCTCCACTGCTTCCTCACCCCTGCAGGTGCCACTCGGGCTACGTGGGGACGCGCTGTGAGCACGCAGACCTGCTGGCCGTGGTGGCTGCCAACCAGAAGAAGCAGACGATCACCGCGCTGCTGGTGGTGGCCGTGGTGGCCTCAGCGGTGCTCATCGCAGCCTGCGTGCTCATCCAGTGAGTGGGGTGAGGGTTGGGGATATCGGGATCGGGAGGGAGATGTGGGGTGCTGAGCATCCCCGCCGTGTCCCACAGCTGCTGCCGGCTGCGGAAGCGCTGCGGGTGCTGCCGGGTGCCGCTCTGCGGGCAGGAGAAACCGGCGGGGCTGCTGAAGGGTGGAGCGTCCTGCTGCCATACTGAGAGTGGTAAGGGGTGGGGGCACCGTGGGGATGTGGGGACACTATGGGGACAGGGGGATGGGGGGACACTATGGGGACGTGAGGACACTGGAGACAGAGGGATGTGGGGGCACCATGGGGACACTATGGGGATGTGGGGCACTATGGGGACATGATGGGGACAGGGGGACATGGGGGCACTGTGGGGACAGAGGGATGTGGGGACACCATGGGGATGTGGGGACACTATGGGGACAGGGGGATGGGGGGACACTATGGGGACGTGAGGACACTGTGGAGACAGAGGAACATGGGGGCACCATGGGGGCAGCATGGGGACACTATGGCGATGTGGGAACACTATGGGGACATGATGGGGACGGGGACATGGGGGCACTATGGGGACACTATGGCGATGTGGGGGCACCATGGGGACATGATGGGGACAGGGGGACATGGGGACACTGGGGACAC